GAGACATAGCGCATGCAAAGGGCATGCAGATCAACCACTCACCAATCCCTGAAGCGTTTCCAATTGCCCATCCGTCTTTTCGATCATGCCTTGCTGCCATTTGCGCCGCCTCAATGCGGTTCGCGCCCTCTGCTTGTCTCCCCTTTGCAAGGCCTGTTTGGCCAACCTGTTCTCCAGATCCAGCACGGATTGCAACTGAGCACGATCGACGTTGGAGGGGGGGGGGAAGGAGAGAAGAGAAGACAGTAGCAAGAATGAGGAGCGAGTAAAAAGTGAGCATCTCCCATCTCCCATCTCCCATCTCCCGTCAAAGTTGACCCCCGCTCACGCCGGCCCCCGTTGGCAAGGCTCACCTTCTTTTGATACTGCTTGACCTTATCTCTTTGCAATTTGAGACTGTCGAACGCAAAGATGGCCACATTTACATTTGAGCGAGCAAATCAGCAATGGTCTAGCCCCCCCATCTCACTACAGACATACAAACGCCTCCTCCACTCACTCGAGGATGGCCCGATCTTGCGGGGTCACCTTTACTCCCGGCTTTGAATGTTGCGCACCCATCGTGGCCACTGTCGATGCGGAGCAATCGTAGGAGTGTGAGTGAGTGGATGGATGGATGGATGGATGGTTGGATGGTTGGATGATGCACGCGGATGATCACTCACACTCACACTCATGACACACTGACTGTAGGTAGTCACGAGTGACTGCATGCCATGCCCAGAGCCATGCAGCAGCCAGCCTGCTCGCCTCACCACGTACGCACGCATCATCGATCGAAATCTCGTTCCTGCATGCATTGCATGGCAATCGTGAATCTTGAATGCCACTGCTGACCTGACCGATCACGTGTGGCGCTGTAACTGCACGTGATGCGGAACTTCAGAAATGGAAGAGACGCTCGACGCTCGACGCTCGACGCTCGACGCTCGCTACGCGACGCATGCACTCGCGACTCGCTTAATCACAACACTGTGAATGCACAAAGAGTCACAAATCAACAACAATCGTGAATGTGAGTGGAGCCGATGCGTAGACAAGCTTTCATCATTACGATCTGGATGGATCAGCAAGCAGCAATCAGCAAGCAGCAAGCAGCACGCAGCACGCAGCACGCAAGCACACCAAGTCGCTTGCATGCAAGTCACGAGTGACGAGTGACGAGTCAGAGTGTCGAAGTGGATCTGCGCCAACCCTTCACCCCGCTCCATTGGATGGTTGGATGGATGGATGGATAAGCAGCAAGCAAGCAGACCGGTGAAAACTTCCCGCTCACCCCATCCCCCCACCGGCAACACATCATCATGCCGCCCCGTCGATCAGATCCCAAGTATTTCGATAGCAAGTGGACAGAGGAAGAGTATGTGCCTCATCGCACATCCACAGAGCGGCAGGAGAGAGACGCGGAGCAGCAGCAGCAGCAGCAGCAGCAGCAGCAGCAGATTGCTGGACCTAGCGTCGGTACGCGCTCTAGAGGCGATGCAGAAGCGGGCACTTCGGCCACTTTGAGGTACAGCATGAGGGCGAGAAAGAGCATCAGCTTAAAAGAGCCCGATGCCAGTCCGGCTACGAGCGAGGATGACGGCCAAGACGATAGGCTCGCCGCAATTTCCACACAGAGCAAGGATGAGGAGGAGGAGGAGGAGGAAGCGAGCAGGGTACTGGCGTGTCTGCCTGAGAATGCGCGTCTATCCGATGAGGAGCAAGATATGAGGGGATGGATGGAATTTCAAAAGAAATTGTTCCTCGCTTACCGCAAAGAGAAGCGATTGATGGCATCGAGCGAGCTGCTGGAAGAATCGGAGCAGCTGGAGCTTATTCGCGCAAGAGCAAGACGCAGAACATTCATGCAGAAAGTCGGCAAGGCGGAAAAGAAAAGAGCGCGATTGAGAAGGGAGGAGGAACAAAGAGAGGAGAAGCGAAAGCTCAAAACTGCACGACGCTTGGAGCACGAGGCCAATTCGGAGCGAAAGATTCGCGAGCAGATTCGCGAGCAAGAGCGCAAAGCTGCTTGGGCGGAGGCCGAAGAGGAGAGGATACAGAGACAGGAGGACGCGTTGAGAGAGGAGGCCAATCAAGCGGATGGCATGTCCACAGCTCCTGCTCATCCTGCCGAGGGTGCATCGACAAGCCAGCAGGTTGCGCACCACGCCCAATCCGGTCGCGTCGCTATCAGTCCAGCCGTGTCGCCTTCGCCTCCGAGAACTTCGGATGAAAAGAAAGTCGAGGATGTCAAACTAGATCCTTGGCGAGCAGATTCCGTCGCTTCGGGTCTCGATGATGTCGACGCCTTCCTCCAAGCGCACATCAACGGCGGTACACGTCCCACTCCGCCCGGTTCCGCCGCTTTGTGGGCCACCGCCGAATTTGGCCTGGTCATCGTAGCTTCCAAAGATGGCAGGTATAAAATCAGAGCCAAGGTGCCCGGAGAGCTCAGCAGGTGGATCGAAAAGGATCGAGTGCCCGACGTGTTGGTAGTGCACTGGCGAAAAGGGAGGGAGGACAGGGATGCCGAAAGACAGAAGCGCGCTTCGAAGAAAGCGCAGCAGCTTGCCATTGGCAAGAGGGCGAATGAGGAGGATGCGAATGAAACGGCGGAACGGGGCCTCGAGGCCGAAGATGCCAGCCAACGCAATACTTCTTCTCGCCAAAAGAAGCGCCGTAGAGTGCAGGCTGACGAGCGATTGGTGAGTCTGCTGAAGCAGGTGCTTGTAGGTCTGCCCACCAACTCACTTGCCGAACGCGGATGCTGCTCACCCAGCCGATCAACTCGGATGGACCGCTCGAAGCGTCCGAGAAGCCAATGGAACTAGATGACGACGCGAGCCAACAGAGAGCAAGCGACGACGCTCTAACAAATGCCGGATCCGTGCTGCATTACTCCATGGGTGAAGATCCCGAAGTGGTGATCGAACGGAAGAGCGAGCCAAGCAGACCTCGTCCTTCGCACCCTCCGCCCACCACCATGGGTGTGGACGCTTCTCAGCCCTCTGGTCCAGTGACGCGACAATCCATGCCCAGCGCGTTTGTGTCCCAGACACAATCGGTGCCGACGCCGTCGAACAGCTTCTCGCCTGCCGCAGCTGCCAGAATTGCCGCTCTTCCTGACCCGAACGTGCAATCCGCCGCGTCGGAAGCGAGAGCTGGATTTGGTCCCTTGCCTCGTCTCGGTCCCGAAGTCTTCCAAGCGCACCTTCGAGCTCAGGCCCTTGCGGAAGGCGAACTTTGGCAATGTGAACCTCGACATGCCGCACAGGCCCGTGCGACGTTGGTGAAGCGTGCAGGGGAAAAGCGCGAGGCTTCGACGAGCACTGGTCAGCAGAGCAGCGGCAACTCTGCCAGCCCCTTTGGCGAATCTGGAGTAGAGGCAAAGGTGGTCAGAATTGGGGACCTCATCATTCCTGTGGCTGATCCAGATGCGCAGACTAGGGAGGAAAGGCGAGCTGCTGAGCTGGCTGGCGCTTTGGACTTGAACGCGACGGACGAAGATGCGATGCAGAAGGTCGAAGCTGCTCGACGTGCTGGATTGCGCCAGCCTGCGATGCGCGAGCAGAACCACTGTCCGCCCGTAGAGGAGGCGGAGATGTCGGCACGCTTGCAGGCAAAAAGTCGACCTGCTTCGAGCAGGCGCTCGCGAAGACGCAAGCCTTCTCGATCGAAGCGTTCCTCGGCACCTCTGGGAGAAGCCGAAGGCATGTTTGAAGAGCTTGAGGAAGGGCAAGCTGCACAGTCGTCTGGCGCTCAAAACCCCGGAGCTGAAGCTGCTCGAGACTCTTTTCCTCCTCCTTCTGCTCCTCTGCCGTCCCATCCGCCTGTCGCTTCGACGCCTCGCGAGGCCGACGGCGTGACCGATGCGGTGCGTGGCCCCGAGTCGCATGTGAGCAAGGAAGAACTCCTCAAAGATCCGCACACACCAGAAGCACGACGAAGCATTGTTCGTCTCGTCGAGCAAAGTCCCTATGTGCCTGCATTTTTGAAAGGAGAAGTGCAGCGCTTTTTGCTTAAACACGATCAGTCCGAAGCGCAGGCGAGCGTCTCCACACAACATCGTGGTGCGACACATCAGTCCCTGTCGCAAACTCAAGAAGAGGCTGGTTTCTTGCCGACCAAAAAGGAGTGGCTGTTCGAACTGGAACGCGGAGATGCCAGAACACCTTACCTCGTCTTGGCTCTCTTTACCGATCATCAGCAGCAGCAAGACATGCAAGCTGATCAGCCCGGGCTGGACTACGAGCTGTCGACGTTGGACGAAGAGAGCGTCAGGCAGGTCTATTCCGATCCGGATTACGATCCATGGCTCGACAAGAACGGGCATTTGTTCGTCGTGCGAGGATTCCCTGCACCGGTAGCTTGTGCAGGCGCAGGTACGGATATCGAGAGCTTCGGCAGTGCAAACCTTGCCAATCGTCAGCCGACGAGTCAGAGCTTGTCAATCGAAGACGTTAAATCCACTCCAGCTTGGCTCGACCTTCAAACGCAAAACGAGAATCTTTACGCTAGTCTGCAATCTGCCAAGAATGATCACGACAAGATGAGCCATCTGCTCGAATCTGCGGAGCATCAGCGGCAAGAAGCGAGGGAAGAGGTCGCTTTCATTCGGACACTGTACGACCGAGCTTCCGAGGCTGCTGCAGAGTCTGCAAACGACTTGCGACACGCTGAGAACAGGGTGCGTCAGTTGGAAAGCCAGTTGGCCGACGGGCTAAACGCTTTCAGAACGGCAGCGCGATCTCAAAGACTTGATTTGGAGGGCAGATTGAAACGTAGCCAGGATCAGGTCAGGTTGCTCCTGGCTCAAGCCGCGCTTACCGACGACGAGATCAGATCGGATGCGCAGAGGTGGAGAGAGCATGTGGCTGAGGAGAAGAGGGCCAAGAAGAGAGCTGAGCTGGAGATGAAGAGGTTGGCCAGGGAGAGAGAGGAACGAAAAGATCTGCTGAGCATGCTGGCTGGTCCCAAAAAGGCTAGAAAGTCTCAAAATGCGATGGAAGATGATGAAGAGCAGCAGCAGCAGCAGCAACGAGGGTTGCAGCGTCAGACAGCTCTTGCAGGCGCCGATCTAACTGCTACTCTTTCCAACGCCGGCGCTGAAGACCTTTTGGATGGCGAGCTGGCTGGTCTCTTGGCGGATCAAGGGGACTCTGTGCCTGCGATCGTCGATGCGCCCATAGGTCGAAATGGAAGACCTCAGCGTATCAGACGTCCCCCAGCTCATAGGACCGCATCGAATAGTCCTGCAGTACAAGTGGCTCCTCCTTTATCCAGCGCACCTAATCCCGCAAGGTCGGATCACACCGCAGATGGACAAAAATCTCAGTCTACAACCAGGCACAGGGCATCCTCCAAGAGACCTGCAGCGATGGTTGCTTCGCAGCTCAATACGGGTGTAATTGCAGAGGAGCCGCAAGGGAAGGGCTCAATCCCCAACGATGTCCCGCAGAGCGGCACGAATGTCCTTGGTGCGCCCCTCGCTGCTGCTGAAAATCAGGCCGTCGTTGGCGCGCTTGGCGCAGCTTCGTCGTCCGATGCAACAAGCGAGGCAATCGCGCCCATCACCGAAGCCTCACCGAAAGAAGCGCCAGAGCTGCTTGGAATTGTCCATCAACCAACACGCCTCGAGGGGCAAAGGCAAGGCGCTGGCGTCGAGATGCACTCTCAAGCAGGGGCCCAAGCATCGAGCGGGGTGCAGATTCGACCTTTGCCCCTCGTGGAGGGAGCAGATGAGATGATCGCGGGCGCAGACAGCCCAAAGCACGCGGCGCTCGGCGCAAGCTCTTCGATTCAAGCGACCACGGCCGGATCTGGAGAACAGGATGTCGACATGCTCATTTCGGACGTCGAGGAGAATGAGGAAGTGGACGAGTTGAATCAGGACGAGGTGGCGGCTAGGGCCCTCTTGGCTGCTTCCTTGGCTTGAATTCCTGCCTGCCCTTTTCTCTCTCTCTCTCTCTTCGCATCTACCGCATTACGAGTCAAGGCACGCAGAATATGCAATGCCTCGGTGTGTAGAAGCACCTGCAATGCGAGTGCGAATTACAGAAGTGGGATGCGCTGACTTTGCGCGTCGATCAGTGCGAGAGTCAGAGTGGTCAAGCGCCTTTCGTGCCAAGCGCGAGGGCACTCGAGTAGCGGACAGATGTTGTATATGTGTTGAACGAAAGCGAGGATATGCTAGGCTCCTTGACTCTTTTACCCCCAAGCATCTATTTGAGGCTTTCCTCGTCCAAGGGAAGCACCTGTTCGGAAGTGAGTAAGCGTCAGTAAAGCCCTCCAATCGACTTTTATCTTGCTCGCCTTTGCGCTCTCCTGCCTCACTGTGAACTCGATGAAGCCGTGATTATTGAGAAGCGCTGCGCCGTCATTTCTTCGACCTGGTGCGGCCTCTCCGTCATTCACGGTTCGTCCTAGTCCGCGAGGCATGAGACACTGCATGCTAAGCAGACCGCGCTCATCGATGCGCAAGGAAGTCTTGATGGACGTCTGCAGCGCTCGTGTCGTCGTCGACATGTGCTTGTAGTTGTACCTTGGTGCAGCGCAAAAAGGGGCCCAGCAGCTAACATCGTGTCAGGGTCGTCTGGTAGGAATTATCGATCCGCACCGCGTCGTCGCTACAACCGCTGTTCGCTCACCTCTGCTCCAAATCGTAATTGCACACAAACCTCTCCATTACGCCTCTCTCGTTGGGCAATTCCATCTGCCAGGATTTATTTTGGGCCCTTCTTTGTGAATGTGAGCTAAGTGCTGTTGAAATTCTCTGAGCACGCTGGCACTCGCCTCTACTGTGCCGGTATCGCTATCAGCCGTGAGCTTGAGCACTTGGATGGTGGGATGCGGAGTCACGCCTGGACGCTTGGCGACTGCATCGTTGGAGCTGAGCACCACCGAGCTGCTCAAGCTAGGCCTCAAGCCCGCCGATACCGAAGTGGCAGTTCTGAATCCTTGTGCAGCGTCGCAAGCGGTAGATGTGTACCGAGGTGAGAAGCGCAGACCTACAAAGGACGCCGATGGGTCCACAGATGACATTGCGTCTGCCAAGAGCTCGGACTGAGAGCATGTATGCGCTCGTGAACGCAATCAACACGTCCAGGTGTCGGCACGAAGCTTCACTCACGCGCATGATGGCTTGCGCGACCAGATAGTCTGGATCAAACGCTAGGTCGGTGATTCCTTGTGGCTCGTAGCTCGCCAGCTCGCACTTGGTCGTAGCCCCGCCGTCATCGTCCAGGCTTGGCGGGCAAAGTGAAACGTCAGCAGATGGCACGCAACGAAGCGTGTTCGAAAGCCAGGGCTCACATCAACACCAATCTTTTGGAGAGCGCATCGAACGTTAGAGCAGCGCTAGTGATGCCTACATCGCTACCCTTCCCGTCCTTTGATTTCCTTGCTCCGTGACCGGATCGTGAGTATCTCTGCTGAGCATCCCCTCGCCCATCATTTGCCTCCTTGTCTCTTTCTCGACTCGTACTTCCGGCACCTTGATCCGAGTGCGAGCCCTTGTTGAGAGCAGGTGCCCCGCCAAAAATGTTCAGGCACTGCAAGAAATTAGCAAGGGAAATGTCAAAGTCGATAGTCTGCCTGAGTGATCTCTCCTCTTCATCTTGCTCCTCTCCGCTCTCTTCCTGCTGGTCTGGAGAATGATGTGCTCCTCTGACTCGCTCAGAAGCTTCTCTTTCGGCTCGCTCAAGAGCTGCTGGACTCAGAGGCTCGGGCTCGCGCAGCTCCGAGCCTTGCACTGACGAGCCCTCTTCCAGAGTTGCGGATGATGGCCGCGATGATGGTTGGACTTGACGCTTGCGTTTGCGAGTGGGGGGTCGAACGAGGCGAAAGTGGAATGGGCTAAAGAGAGAGGATGGAACGTATGCGTTGGCTGTGTGGCGCATACGCAGTCGACTGATCAGTGCGTCGGTCCTTGGCAGGCGCAAGCACATGTATGCGCCGAGTCATATTCGCTAGCATGCGCTGCTCACCTTGCAGAGAACGATCCTGCTCCGTGGTGAATGTCAAGCCGGACTCGGACAGCGAGACGGTTGCGAACTGGTGCACAACGAAGCCAATGTCAGAAGGCCCAAGATATAATGCTATACCTTGCGCTGCGATCGCGGCACTCACAGTCGAGAATGCGATAGGTCTGAGCAGAGCTGCCAGAGTTCTGACATCCGCAATCTGCGCCTGCACCAACGAGAGGGTCACGGAAAGAGGGGATGAGGCGCGCGCGAGACGAGGGGGGGCTGCGAAAGTCATAGACGTACCCTCAGACATTGCGTGTCGCTTGGACCTGCCATCGTATGCAGCTTCTCAAGCAGATCCCCGAGCTCTTGCGCTGCTTTCTTTTGTCGTCAAGGATTGCCGCTGCTGTAGCTGATGCAGTACGTGGAATGGAGAGGTGATGGTGGGTGGGTGCGTGCTGAGCTCCGTCCGGGAGCGGAACGTGCGCGCGCGCGCGCGCTCGATGCATTCGCTAGTCTGAGAGTCACGAGTCGAGGGACGATCCGAGTGCAGCAAAATCTACAGAAGAGCAGACAGGGACTGCATGATGACTGTGACTACAGTGACAGCCGCGCGACTGTGAGATGCGTGAGTCGCGACGAAGATCAACCTCTCTCTTCTGCTGTCACCTGTCTGCCTGCCTGCCTGCCACCCAAGGTTTTTCAGCAGGTTGCAAAAGAGCGTTGATCAGGACAACACATTCGCCCTCGTCACTGTCACTCTGTACGCACGACTGGACCCCCATGATTAGCCGACATGAGCTCCAAGAAGAACAAGAAGGGCAACAGCAGCGGTGGTAGCAGGCTCTTCTCTGCCTCGCCCTCGCCCTCGCCTTCGCCTTCGCCTTTGCCAGGCACAGGGACAGGTGCCGCCAACGCACGCGGCAGGTCAGGTACGCCCTTGTCAGACGACGATGAGAGCGCGTCCGTACATACGCCGAACAGGAGACAGCCAGCCGGCGCGCATTCAGAGGATGAGCATCTAGCGCGTTCTCAAGAGACGACGTGGCACAGACGAGCGCGCGATCTGTGTCGAGAACACCTCAGAACGCTCAGAGCCTGGGAATTGGTGGTTCAGGAAGACTTGGCAAAGGCCGTTGCGGCTGTATGCACATCTTCAGGCTCTCTGGATGACGCTCTCAAGCTCTCTCCATCTTCGCTGATCAAGCATTCCAGCATAGCTTCCGCGCTCGAAGATCTCCATTCGGACGTGCAAGACTTGCAACATCTCTTGCCTCGTCTCTCCAAGCTCTCTCACAAGCTACGCCACACGAGTCTCAGCGCACAGCGCATACTGACCGAGGCACTGGATGCTAGAGGCGTCGAGTTCGTCTCCGCACCGCAGTGGAATACTTGGTCGCTGGACGACATTGTAGGCGCAGTGCAAGCTCAGGTCTCGGCACACGTTCTGCAGTCTGTCCACCTGAACATGCTGAGCCAGCTTCTAATTCGTCGCGGGTGCGTGGCCGGCTTTGCGAGCGCATCAGCAGACGCCGGAGTAGGGTCTGCGCCTGCGCTCTCACTACATTGCGTCAAGGGAAAAGGCATCGAAGACGAGGAGCAGAGTTTGTCGAGCTCTGCGAGCGAGCACTCCGACTCGGATACTGCCTCCCGCTCGAGCAGCGCAAGTTCACGCTCTCGCACTGCCTCGGATTCGGAATCAAGCAACAACAGCCAAGCATCCAATGACACGTCCGCCTCCAGACCAGCTTCAAGATGGAGCTCGAGGGCCAGGTCCACACCCTCATCGAGAGCTTCCACGCGTACTCGCGTCTTGGAGGAGTGGCAGGCGCTGCGTCATCTCAGACCTTCTACAGCTCCGAGCAGCTCGAGCTTGGACAGGCAGT